GGCAGCGATGTATTGAACGGTACCGTCACCACCGGGTGCAGCAGTTCGGTGGTAAATTCCTGCATTAGTGCCTTTGACAACTCCAAGGCATTGGCAGGAGATTGCAATGAAATCACCACTTTCCTCGAGTGCTTTTCGCCATGCTGTGACTATGACCTGACCGTGAACCCTCCATCAGCCACTACCATTGATGGGGTCAGCATAGATGTGTCACTGGGCTCTTCGGCGATCGAGTACTGGGCAAGCCAAGCTACGCAATACAGCTGCGGCAGCACTGTTTCGTGCAGTGCGGCCGCCACTGCCACTGTTACTGCGACGACCACCGTCACGATGACCGCCACCGCCACCGCCACGACGACTGTCGGGTGAGGCCTGAGAGGATCTGGGATTGCCTGAGCAACAGCCTTGTGGAATTATGTACAGTAATCATCAGCCATCAGTTTTGTTTTGTTCACAATATTTTTTTTATGTTGTGTGTGTGTTCTTTGTTGCTCACTAAAACGCTAACATGCGTTGATGTACTGGACGTTTGATTTGCCGGCACAACGAATACAACCCCGCCTTCGTACTGCTTTCTTCGGGGGAGCTCGTTCTCTCCATGGCTCCGGTGTGAACATAGGTGTTTTTCTTTGATGATTTTCATGGGCTCAGTTTTGCTGTCAACACGGCCTGCCATTTTAAATAAGACAGTTCGAATCAAATTCCAACAAAATCCAAACCATTTCAATGACAGGTCAAAACAAGTCCAAGACAGTTCCACACAACTTCCAGGAATTAACAACAACATAAAATTCCACAGAATGTTCAGGCTAGCAGAATCTAGGACAATTTTAGTAAAAAAAGCAAACAATTTACCCAGACAATTCCGGCAACATGCACTGGAGCGGTTTGGATGGCATTTCGTTTTTTGTTGGTGTGTTTTCGTTTTGTATGTTACAGTATGTTCCCCAAACATTGTATCCACACTGAGGGGTTGTTACGGTAGGAGTAAAGACCGGTGCTTGATCAGGGTGCTCCATCTGGCTTCCGGCTTCTTTCCTGTAAATTCTCGCATAAACTGGCTCTTGTGCGATGTCCATGTGCATTTCGACTGCGCAAGCTCGCGCAAAGTCTGCGCCGCGGGGTTTGTTTGATATTGGCCTGCGGCATTTTACCTGAAAATTCTCGCATAATGTGACTCTTCTGACATGTCTGCATGTCCATGCAGGGGGATTTGGACTGCGCAGGCTAGCGCAAATTGTTTGTTTGTCCCGGTCTCGGTGCGCGGCATTTTACCGGAGAATTCTCGCATAAAGTACTCTTGTGAGCTCTTGTGTGCATTTCGACTGCGCAGGCTCGCACAAAGTCTGCCACGTGAGCCATCCTTGATCTTGGCCTGCGGCAGTTTACCTGAGAATTCTCGCATAAAATTCTGACATGTCCATGTGCATTTCAACTGTGCAGGCTCGCGCAAAACGGTATTCCCGGTCTCGGGGCGTAACCTTTTCCCTGCAAATTCTCGTATAAAAACTGGCTCTTGTGACATCTCCATGTGCATTTTGACTGCACAGACTCGCGCAAAAAGTCTGCCGCGCGAGATTTCTTTGATCTTTGTCTGCGGCATTGTACTTGAGAATTTTCGTATAAAATGGCTCTTGTGACATGTCCATGTGCCGATTGCGCAGGCTTGCGCAAAACGGTTGTCGCGGTCTTAGGCGTGACATTTTCCTGAAAATTCTTACATAAAACTGCTCTTGGCTTTTGCCAGATGTCCACCATGCATTTCGACTTCGCAGGCTTGCACACAACGGCTGTGCCGGTGCTGGGGCCTGTTCTTCCCCAAACAGTGTGACCACTGGGTGCTCCATCTGGCTTCCGGCTTTTTTCCTGTAAATTCTCGCAGAAACTGGCTCTTGTGTGATGTCCATGTGAGAGCATTTCGACTCTGCAGAATCGCACAAACTCTGCCACGCGAGTTTTGCTTGAAGTTTTGCATGATCTTGGTCTGCGGCATTTTACCTGAAAATTCCCTCATTAAAAAACATGTTCTTTTCTGATATGTCGATGTGCATGTCGATTGCGCAGGCACGCACCAAGCGGTTGTCCCGGTCCTGGGGCGCGGAATTTTTCCTGTGAATTCTCACAAATGAGCGATCTCTTGTGGAGATCCTGCTAAATTCCTGTCTCAGAGGTCCTTGCATGATCCTGTACAGGTCCTTAACAGAAGATCTTGTGGAGATCCTGGTGAGATCCTCTCTAAGAGGTCCTTGCATGAAGATCTTGCAGATGCCATGTCTTAGAGGTGCTTGTATGAAAGCTTTTGTGGGAGGGAGTGGGAGGCACTTGGGGGGTTCTTGTCTCGAGATCTTGTAAGATCCGCTCCAGCAGCACCAGCTCCTTTTATGACAATCCTGTGAGCGTCTCTTATAGGGATCCTGGCATGAAGGTCTTGGTCGCGGTCTTTTACAGATCCTTGTGAGAAGCTCTTGGAGGGATCCTAGTGACATGCTGTTTGGTGCCTCTACATGATCTTGCACCGGTCCTTGTGAGAAGCTCTTGAAGAGGTCCTGGTGAAATCCTCTAGGTGTCCTTACATGCTCTCGTACAGGTCCTTGTGAAGATCTTGTGGAGTTCCTCTTCAAATCCTCCTCGAGAGGTCCTTGCAGTAAGATCTTGAAGATCCTCGCGTTGGTGTTTGACTGAAAGTTTTTTTGGGATGCTCATAGGAAGCTCTTGTATGAAGATCTTGCGAGTTCCTTTACATAATTCTATATAGCAGGTCCTGCTGCTGCAGTTGCGATCATGTCGAACCTCATCTGTTACTGTTCCATGCTACTGTTGCTTGTATCTGGTACATTGACTTCCTACCCCCCACACTGTTCGAGGTCTCTTGCCGGTGCATTTTTTATGTGGATTGTTCATCATATTTGCCAAATTCCGCTTGATTTTGTCAGGGCATTTGTTCCATAAGAATTGGAGCGGCATGGGAAGAAAACAGTGTGTGTTGCGGGGCTGTTTGTAGTTTGAAGCACTTGATGCACGTTTCAAACATCCTTTGCTTGGGGAGCATGTTGCACATCTTGTTTTGTGGTGATGTTCAAAAAGGACACGGAGATCGATCAATAATAGCTATGAAGTATGTATATATATATATGTATGTATATGTGAAATACTCATTTTTGGGGTCTGAACACCCATGTAGCATCGTTTGCTATTTCAAATTGAACATTCCGGGGATGCGTTCTGGCTTTTGATCCCGGTTTCAGTGGCAGCGTGAGTCCCTCAGCGTTGAAACGATGCGGCTCGGACTGTCCGGAGGCAAAGAAAAAAGTGCAGTTCTCTCCTTGGTTTTGCCTGGAGATAGGGTATTTGTAACCATCGTATTCGCCAGGGTTCCCCAGAAAAATGACAATTTGCTGGGTATACTCACGTAATCTCACGTATATTCTATTTCAGCCACACCCATTTGAATCAGAATGGTTTAACTGGTTTGAAAGTGAACACCTACTCAATTGACCTTATTTGCAGCCTCGCTAAATACATTGGCATTGATGATGTTTTTCAGCGCTTGATTGTCGTTCCAGCGAACCCTGTGTTGAGTGTCGCCTTCTCGAAGAATCGTGTGCTGCAGTTTTGTCAATGTTTGCAGTTGTTTTTGATGATATTTGGGGAAGATTCGCGCTCAGAGAAATGAAGCAAACACACACACACATAAACATATAATATGTATCTTACAAATTTTGTGTGTATCTATATATATACATATTATATATATATATACATATAGTAAAGGAAATTTGATTGTTGCCCACGATTCCCATGACCACTGTTGAGCGAATTTGGAATCCATGTGGAGTTCCATTGATGAAAAGCCGCTCGTCGGATCAAATGACTATGATAATTTTGTTTTTTCATGACATGCAGAAATTGGTTGCGCAAAGCAGATCAATGAGATTCCTCCCTCAGCGATTCTCAGTTCAAGACAGCCAAGTCGCCCCATTGACCACTGATTGGTTCGGTATGAAGTCCTCGGCAATGAGTGTCTTCTCTATCGCAGTTACGTTGACGGCTGTCCTGATGGGCACTTTGCAAGGCTGCAGCAGCGAAGAGGGCGGCGCCGTCGCCTCCGGGTGCAGCAGTTCGATCGTAGATTCCTGCATTAGTGCCTTCAACACCACTGCTGCCATGGCAGGAGATTGCAGTGAAATCACCACTTTCCTCACATGTTTTGCCGGGTGCTGTGATTACGACATGGTCGCCAACCCTCCGACAGTCACTACGCTTGATGGGGTGCAGCCATATCTGTCAGTTGGTTCTACTGCTATCAATTACTGGGCCGGTGCGAGTACAGAAAACAGCTGCGGCAGCACTGTTTCGTGTACTACCACCACTGTCGTGACCACTGTGACGATGACCGCCACGACCACTGCCACGACGATCGCCTGAGCTTGAGATGGCCTGAGGACTTGATATGCTTGAGCAACAGCCTTGTGGTACTAACCATGTTTTTGTTCGCAACAAAGGTTTATATATATATATTATTATACAGTATACTTGGTTTATTGTGAAGCGAGTTTGGTTTGGTTCTTTTGTTTGTTGCTCATGCACGGGCAAGTTATTGCCGGCACAACGCCTCAAGGCCGGACTTTTAAAAGCTGCTTTGTTAGGGAGGCACGTTCGATCATGGAGTCAAAAGGAGCTCCATGACTCCAGTGTGAATCTAGGTGTTTTTCTTTGATGATTTTCATGGGCAAACAGTTTTGTTGTCAACACGGCCTGCCATTTTAAGTAAGACACTTCGAATCAAATCAAAATAAAACCCTTAAACAATTTTAATGACATTTTAAAATAAGTTCCAGTAGAACTCCGGAATGATTTCCAAGACAATTCTACAGCAATTCCAAGACAATTCCACACAAAATTCCAGTAGTTAACAACATAGAATTAAAGTCCGCAGAATTTCAGTATAAAATCAAGGACCTTACCCAGACAATTCAGGCAAGATGCCCTCTTGAGGTGGTCTGGACTGGTCTGCATGGCATTGTTTTGTGTTTTTTTTTTCTTCGCGGGATTTCGCGGGCTGTTTATCGGTTTGGTTACATTCCAACAAGATATTTTGTCAGGTCATTTTTGTCCCACAAGAATTCAAGCGCAGTGCTATGCTAAGGAAGCAGCACGGTATGGGGCCGCTTGTACAACGAATTCGGGCTTCGCTTGGGGACCATGCTCCACATCTCCTTGTACTGGTGATGTTTGTGTAAAGGAAAGCATGAGTCCAAGCTTTTGCCGATGCATCCCGTCAGGCAAAAGCGAGGTGACAAAAAAGAGCGAATGGTTTGAAAGTGAGCGAATTCTAATCTTTTGCCGTATTCTTTCCGAGAAAAATAATGACATTTTTTGGGTTGTTTTCGGCTCTTAATTTCAGCTCCAGTATCATGTGGTTGCTTTTGATCCCAGCTCAAGGAGCTGAGGGCATTCGATTAACCACGCTGAGGTTAAACCGTCAAGGAGCTGAAGACCTCTATGTGATGGAGTTTTCCTGGCAGGTTGTTGCGGAAATGCTGTGCTTTTCAAAGTGAGAAAGTATATGAAAGTATATACTTATTTGTGCAAAAACACTAGAGTCTACTGGAAATGGTTCATTTCTACAGTTAGTGTTCGAAATTTGATTGAACACCATGTATAATCTTCATGATGTGAAATCATACCGTTTCAACATGTTTCAACCATACAGCATACATTTCCTTTACATGTTCCCTGCTGCAGATCTTCCCTTCCTCCAAGTCGTTGATTTTTGGGAAGAAGAAAACCCATACCAGTATGATCTATGATTGTGGGGGACCTACTGTGGATGGAAGAAATCTTGCACCACTAAAAGGCTGGTTGAAACCCTATAAATCATGGAATAAACCATCTATCATGCAACTGGTGCAGGATTTCGCAACCATCCACAGTAGCTATATTTCATGCTGTGAAAACCCTATAGCAATTGCGGGTTTGACTCATACTGTAGCCATTTGAGCGATGTTCACAACCCGGAATGCCATTCCATTCCAAGTCTATGGATGATGATCATCCCCAAGTCATATTGTGTAGTGTAATACCTGAAGGAACTATCTCAACCAACCATCATTGATGAGTGATAACATCCACTAAAATTGCTACATATGTTGATGGTTAACAGCCCTATTAGTGAAGGTTAAATCGCGTTCTGACGACTGTAGTCATCAACCAAGCATCATTTTACTAATTAGGAACGATATCCCCATATTAAGTTTAGGTTAAATCCCTCTAATTCATGGTGATATTTCCAACCTGATTATGATTAAATCCCCTTTTTTGATTGATAGATCTCTATATGTGTTCATGGATCAATAGGGATTTAATCATTAAAAAAAACAAAAATCCAAATTTTCATGGATCAGCCCCTATGCTGGTTACATCCCAAGGTCCACTAGCTCCACGAAAGCTGAAGGATTTGGGCCAGCTGAACGTCTGGAGGCTCGCCTTCCTGGGTGAATTGTTGATGATTTTGTCGTGGAGTCATTGGTGAATTTCTTGGGACGTAGATGTGGAATATGGCACATTTATAGCTATATCGAAAATGTGGGTGTGTTTTCAACTTCTGACTGTCAGTTTGGAGGCTAGATGTCAACAAATGGATACGCTGGTTGGCTAATTTGATCTAATTTGTACTTATACCCGTACTTATACTACCCAATTTATTGGGGATTATGACAAGCCATGTAGGGGAACCTATCAACCAACAAGTGTGATAAGATGGGATAGTGTTATTTGTTAATGGCTCATGTGGCATGCTGCCATGTCTGGAGTCGTTGTTTTATGGATCAAGGAATTTGAGTCAAGGAATTTGAGTCTAGAAGTTGTATTATCAAATATATACCATTATCGAAGGAAGTTTAGAAGTCAAACTTCCGACAATATGGAGAGATGAAAAAGCAGTCAGCAGGGAGAAGAGTCAGAAGTGAAAAGATCAGAAGAAAGAAGATGCAGGTGCGCAAAAAGGTAGGAATGTCGCGAAACACTGTGTTTTATTCGTGGTTTTGTGGTTCCGGAGGGTTGAAAAGTAGGCTCGCTAAAGCGGCAGGTGCGGAGACATCTGGGGAGATGAGAGATGAAAAGTTGCACGCCGTTGTGGCGCGAAGCCGATTTCGAAGTGAAAAGGTACAAAACACCTCAGCGCCGGACCACTTTTGGAAGTTGAGATGTTGAACAAGTGCATGGCGTTGTGGCGCTAAGCACATTTCGAAGTCAAAATGTTCAAAACCCCAAGGGTTCGGACCACTTTTGGAAGTTGAGATGTCGAAAAAGTGCACGCCGTTGTGGCGCGAAGCACATTTCCAAGTCAAAATGTACAAAGCACACCATTCTCGGACCACTTTTGGAAGTTGAGATGTCGAAAAAGTGCACGCCATTGTGGCGCGAAGCACATTCGAAGTGAATATGTACAAAACACCACATGTTCGCGCCACTTTTGGAGGTTCGGATGTTGAAAAAGTGCACGCCGTTGTGGCGCGAAGCACATTTCCAAGTCAAAATGTACAAAACACACCATGTACGGACCATTTTTGGAGGTTCAGATGTCGAAAAAGTGCACGCCGTTGTGACGCGAAGCACATGTCCAATTCAAAATGTACAAAGCACACCATGTACGGACCATTTTTGGAGTTTCAGATGTCGTTTCGCGTTGAGGTTCAGATGTAGTTTCGTGAGGTTTTGTAGCATTTTCAACCACAACCACCACTACACTACACTACACTACACTACACTACACGACACTCCAATACATTACACCACACTACAACTACAACTAAAATTACACCTTCACTACATTCTACTACACTCCACTACACTACACCGCACTCAATTACACTCAACTACACTACATTACACTACACTACCTTCCACTACACTACCTTCCACTACACTTCATCACACTACACTACACTCCATTACACTACACTTCACTACATTACACTACAACTACAACTGCACAAGTACACTCCACTACACTCCACTACATTACACCGCATTACACCGCTACATTAAATTACACTACACTACACTACATTACACTGCACGACACTCCACTACACTGCACTACACTACATTACACTACACTACACTACCTTCCACTACACTTCACTACATTACACTACACTACACTCAACTACACTACAACTACAACTACAACTAAACTCCACTACACTCCACTACACTCGACTACACTAAATTACACTACACTACACTACATTACACTACACTACATTCCACTACACTTCACTACATTACACAACACTACCTTACACTGAATGACACTGCACCACAGATAGACAGGTAGACAGATAGACAGATAGACAGATAGATAGATGGATAGATAGGTGGATAGAAAGATGGATAGATGGATACATAGATAGGTAGATAGATAGATAGATGGATGGATAGATAGATAGGTAGGTAGATAGATAGATAGATTAGATCGATAGGATAGATAGATCGATAGATAGATAGATAGATTAGATAGATAGATAGATAGATAGATAGGTAGGTAGGTAGGTAGGTAGGTAGGTAGATAGTCAGAGAAAGAGAGCGAAAGAGAGGAGACCTCAAGCACCTTTCGGTCCATCAGTGGATTCGCTCTGCCATCCCTGATTCACAACAACTCACCTCTCCTATAGGTTTCCTATTTTTGAAACTTCCGCCACCGCCTTGTGCGGTACTACTGGTATACCAAAAGTACTTACATTCCTGGCTTTGTTATAAGGAGTTAGCTCAGTTACCATGGGTTAGCATCTTTTGTTAACTATGTGTTATCTATATGTGAACTATGTGCTAACAATGTCTTAACTATGTATATCAAAGGTTAAAATTTAAGTATAATTAACATATGTTGCTATTAAAGTTACTTTTTTAGCTATCTCTAGTTAACTCTGCTAACTCTCTATAACTTTGGGGCCTTTTTTGTTCTGATCCAGTATCATATTTAAGTATATAGTTTACAAGGAAAATGTATCAACATACCTATTTTTATTTTTCAAAATTTGGAAATCAAAATTCATTTGGCCAACACATGAATATAGGGTGGTGACCACATTGAAAATGACCCACACCAAGTTGGCAGACAAAAATTTGATTTTTTTCTGTGCAAAATCCAATTGGTGATATGTATGCTGTGCAAGGGCCACCTGGCCATCCAAGCTTGGATCTTGTGTCTCAAAGCCACTGATGGCTGCCCATTCTTTTGCATGTGCATATATTTTTGATATGGCTGCCATTTCAATGTTTCAAAACCAGCCCAAAGTGCCAGCACCCAGCTGCACCACTATATTTGTTCCACACCTGCGCCATGGTAGAGATCAGCAGCAGGGTGGAGCTCAAATTCCAGGATGAGAAGCCCATCTGCTTGCCCAAAGACCTGATCATCCAATTTGATGGCCACCAATACCTCAAGCTGAGGCCAACTAGCTTCCCCATAGTCCAATTCATCCATGGAGGCAAAGTTGCCAAGAATGCCAGCTTGTCCTCTTCCACCACACTGAAAGGATTGATCCAAGCCAGGAATGACCAGTACCAAGGCAATGTGCCCCAAGAGGAAGGCCAAGAAGCACTTTTTGATGATGCCAATGGGCCAGCTGCTGGTTCCAAAAGGCCATTGGACCAATTGGAAGAACCAGGCACCATAGTGCAAATAGATTGCAATGGAACCAGCATTGATTGCTTGATGGTGGGAAAGAGGCCAGCCAGAACAGATTTTACTTTTTTGTTGGAGGCCAGCCAAGTTGAAGCCATTGTGATGGCCATGAGAAAAACTTCTACCAAGGATTTGGAAATGCCTACCAGGGCATATAATAAGGATGCCAAGAGAGCCAAGAAGGAATGACCTGCTTCATGTTAAAAGGAAAACTGGTGACATTGCTTCTGTATTTTGTTACAAATTCAAAGGCCATTTGGCCATACAAAATATTTGCTTTCCATAGCCAAGCACAATGAAACCTGGATAACCAGCCATGAATGCTTTCTGCCTTTGGCTGCTTCCAGCTGCCCACTACATGTTGGAACCATGAAATACAAACAAGTGCAGAAACAATTTTGGCAAGTCTACAACACTTCTGTTGCAACTCCTTTTGCCAAGCCATGGCTGTGCCACCTGCTATAGTCCAGGCTGTGAATGGCATCCTGGACTCCAACCAGCCCATTAACCAAAAGCTTCAGAAGGTGATTGAGAAGTTGGAAGCCAACAATTTGGTGCAGAGGCAAATTTTGTTGCCAAGCCAAATTCTTTGCCATCCTCAGAACAGAGGTGGGACCATGCTTAGCTTCCATGATGTGTGGGCAAAAGGAGCTGCTTTGACCAATGTTGGTATCCAGAGAGCTTTGCTGGAAGATGCCATCTGCATCCAAATGGCCAAGGACCCTGTCAAAAGATCCAATCAAGTTGCCAAGAACCAGCAGCTCACTGATGAGGCCAAAGGTTTTCTGCCACCATTGGCAGGCACAGAAAGTTTCTTGGCCAATAAGCATGTTTTATTTCCACATAGCTTATAGCACATATATAGAAGCAATGTGTTAGTTTGCCCCATGCAGGTTACCTCAGCCTGGGATGCAGCCACACAGTGGCATGGCTTCGCTGTGTGGAAGCCAACATTGCTGGCCCAGATGGAATTCCAGAGTTGCCCAAAAGTGACCCAGCTTGGGATTGCATTGCCAAAGGTTGGAAGTGGATAGTTTTGGCGCCAGAAGTGGAAGATTCCATACCTACACTACCATCATGGACCCAAATGGCACTGAACAGTGGAAACAGCATTGGGAAAGCCATTGGTGAGCTTGAGGTGGCTTGCCTGATGACTCACTTTTTCAACCAAGGCTTGGACCTTTCCCAGGCATGCCTGAATGCCAGCCAGGGAGACCAGAGATGCAAGGAATCAATTCCATTCATTGCCATCTATGTCCAGAAGTTTGCAGGAGGTGCACCAAACTTCCCCATCATCAATTTCCTCAGCAGGTTCTCCCAGCAGTTCAATGCAACCTTGTTGATGGGCCAAGACTTCTTCCAAGGGTTGACAATGCTTGACTTCAAGCAACCTGATTGTGTTTACCCTTTCATCAGGGCCAGTGCATGGGCCACCATGCTGACAACCAGCAAGTCTAGTGATGGGTATGCCAAATTGCTTCATTGCCATGACCTGGACAAGCTCAAATCCAACAATATTTTTCCCAAAGTTCAGCTGGCAGAGAAGATGCTAACAGATTCATGGAAGACCATACAAAACTGCTTGAAGGATAGGAGCCACAGTGAGAGCCACACCAACAAGTGCTTTGGAAGGATGGCAGTGAGAACCATGCTTTTCTTGACAGGCAAGCAGAAATTTTCCAGGGAAGGCAAGGAGTTTGAATCCTTAGAATCCATTTTGGAAGCTTTCACAGAAGACATGAAAAACCCAAATGAAAAAAACACAGGCAGCCAAGGCAGAGAAGAGCTA